TTTTTTTTTTTTTTTTGGGGGGGGGTGGAGGGGTGAATGAAAGAATGAAAGCTCATTTTTAGTTAGAGAGTAGTCAAAAAGAGCAGGGTACATGGGGGGAGGGGTCAATTTGACTTTTTAATATGTACCTAATAATGGAAGCCTTTTATTGGGTGGGGCACATTTCTCATTTTCTATAGATGATTCCCCAATTGTAAAATTGTAATAGCAGAACATGGTGTTATCTCAAAATTCCCAGAAGCTTCCCTGACAAAACACAGAACTGGCTCTACCCTAAGCCAAATTTTAATCATTGGGTTTTTAAAATCAACATTATCCAATGATTGCACCGCAGTGTTGCCGAGTCCAATTCTTAGATCAGTGGCTACAAAATGGGTCAAGACCCTTCAGACAAGCAGGCATTAAGAATAAATGAAACATTGAGTTGATGGAGTTTTATTGACATAAACAGATGCATTTTTTCAAAAACTCGTTTATTTTGTTCTTACACACTTATAAAACTACTGCAAATTAAAGGAAATAAAATTTTATATTTTTTAAATTGGCCTTATTTTTAACTTTATGAGAAGATGATGTCATGATGGCCTGACAGTCAGTCATAGAGAAGATGGTGTCATGATGACCTGAATAGTCAGTCATAGAGAAGATGGTGCATTGCTTACATGTAAGACGATGGTATGTTTGGTTACATGTAAGGAGAAGTTACATTTGTTTAAGTGTTGTGTAAGTAGACAGTGCCAACCATTAGTTCCCACAGCAAGGGAAGTAATATTAAGGAAGTAACAAAATTATGTCCCCTTTTTTAATACAAAAGACGTAAAACAAATTGAGCATTTTATTACATCAACAAAAAATGCTGGCTACCTCATGTAAGCAGATGAAAGTTAGCTTGCTACCCTTGTAAGCAGTTAAAAGTTAGCTTGCTACCCCATGTTAGAAGTGTAAACTTTATATAAACAAAAAAGAGCTCTCCCACACAAACTAATATAAATAATGTGACTTGAAATAATTGACACGAATTATTAAGTAAATAAAAAAAACTATTGTCTTCAAATGACCAGAAGGAAGTAAAATACAACGTTACCATATCACAGGTAGATATAAATCATTTACAAAATCTGAGGTATAGAAAGTATTAAAAATGTATTGTTGATCTACTTACTAATGGCTACAGATGTCGAAATGTAATAAATATCAGTGACATAATTTTTGTAAAAATAAAACAATAGTAATTTATTCAATCAGAGAAACTCTGCATAGAGTAAGATCAAACTGTTGAGCAATAAATAATACATTTCTTAAAACAAGGACGGCTTCTCTACCTTCTGTACATTGTAAAAAAATACCTTCACTAGAAAGAAATATCAAATGTCAACAAATAATAAAATATGGCAGGTGTTAAAATGGCATTCGTTCTATCCAATTGTATATAACATGAAACTTGTTGAAGTGAAATGAATACATGAATCAACCCACGGAATTAGATAATAAAATAAAATCATAAAATGAGATATAAATGGCTTATAAATTCAATGTCATAAATTAAATCAAAAGCAGTACATACAAAATACACCAATAAATGTTCTTCATGAAGAAATCTCAGCATAGAATAAACTCTTTATAGAACAAATTTTAAAAAACATTGTAACTTACCATGTGCATAAATATAACATAAATGTTTGAATGGGGATTTATTGAAATTTAAGTTTGTTGAAAACAATCATAAAGGTTTAAAACTAACTAAAGAGTTCCAAAAATGTATATCATCCAAGTTGCTATTTTAGACACTTGTTTATACAGGATTTACTCCTACATTGTTGGTCAGTTATTTAAATTAATAAATGGCTTAACTAATGTCCGCAGTAAGAAAAAAAAAACAAGTTTTGTAGACAATGTGGAAGCCAAGGTTTAGTAGACAATGCCAGGTAGATTATAAAAAAAAGAATACAGGTAAACAATTGCATCCGTCATGAAATGTCATTAGCAGGTAAAAAAAGAAAACTGAAATATTTACTTACATGTAAACTACTAGAGCACAGTTGTTGTACAGAAAAACCAAATTGAAAGTGTTTAAGAACTAATTACATTAGCAGTCATGCCCTACTGGTGGTAGATTACTTATTACATTAGCAGACATGCCCTCCTGGTGGTAGATTACTAATTACATTAGCAGACATGCCCTGCTGGTGGTAGATTACTAATTAAATTAGCAGACATGCCCTACTGGTGGTAGATTACTAATTAAATTAGCAGACATGCCCTGCTGGTGGTAGATTACTAATTAAATTAGCAGACATGCCCTGCTGGTGGTAGATTACTAATTACATTAGCAGACATGCCCTCCTGGTGGTAGATTACTTATTACATTAGCAGACATGCCCTCCTGGTGGTAGATTACTAATTACATTAGCAGACATGCCCTGCTGGTGGTAGATTACTAATTACATTAGCAGACATGCCCTGCTGGTGGTAGATTACTAATTACATTAGCAGACATGCCCTCCTGGTGGTAGATTACTTATTACATTAGCAGACATGCCCTCCTGGTGGTAGATTACTAATTACATTAGCAGACATGCCCTCCTGGTGGTAGATTACTAATTACATTAGCAGACATGCCCTGCTGGTGGTAGATTACTAATTACATTAGCAGACATGCCCTGCTGGTGGTAGATTACTAATTAAATTAGCAGACATGCCCTGCTGGTGGTAGATTACTAATTACATTAGCAGACATGCCCTGCTGGTGGTAGATTACTAATTAAATTAGCAGACATACCCTGCTGGTGGTAGATTACTAATTACATTAGCAGACATGCCCTGCTGGTGGTAGATTACTAATTACAGTAGCAGACATCCCCTGCTGGTGGTAGATTACTAATTACATTAGCAGACATGCCCTGCTGGTGGTATTGGATTTGATTAGTGATGGCCTTCTCTCCCCAGGTATTTCTGCATCTTTCTGTTGATTAGGGTCAGACGTATTTGACTGAGAACCAGTGGGCTCTTGGGGGCTTACAGCTGCCAAAGTTTCTGATTGAGTGGAGTCTTTCTTTGGGGAAAGTTCTGTTTAAAGAAAAAAAAAATAATAAAGATCCTCATGTGGCACAAACAAACACAGCATACATTTAAAATCAGAGGTTCCCAAACTCAGCTTCCTCACAGAGGTGGCCAAGTTTTTAAAATAAAATTCATTTTGTAATACAATTTTTTTTAAATGTGCGGTTGTGAGCCTGGGTGGGGGGAGAACTAATTTGGATTCTTATCAAGTGGGTTAGTAGTATGCATGTTTTGTCAAATTGTCAGCCCAGTCCCTCATTGCTCGATATGACATTGAATCGAGGCTTTATACGAAAAACTTTGTTTTTATGGGTTGTCTCATTACCTTTTTACTTTGTTATTGTTTTCTTTTTTTTTCTTTTTGAGTGCACTTGTTAGAATTTAAGATAGGGCAACTTGAGAAAGCCTGGATGCAGCAAGGATGCAAAGTTTGGAACCTGTGATGTAAACTATAATAAACTTGATATGACGACCTCCGGCGACTAACACTGTCCACCAACTCTAATCACATAAGAAACTTACGGTCACCTCTGGTCAGGTTCTCTGCCCTTTGTTTCAGATGTTTGCCCAAGCCGAGGGGTTCGAGCTCCTGTAACTCTTGTAACATGAAATCCACTCCTAAAATCTCCGACTGATGGTGAACAGTCGTGACTGCAGATTCCCGAGTCAAGACAGTGACTCTCATAGCTCTGCGATGAGCCTCACACAACCAGATGTACTTACCACTTGGTAGCAAACATCTGTAGGAAGCATATTATCACGTACTCAGTTTGATAAATATTATAACAAACATACTCAGTTTTATAAATATTATAACAAACGTACTCAGTTTGATAAATATTATAAGCATCGTATTCATTTTTATAAATATATCGATGCAAATGAAGAAAAAAACAATCTTCTCTCCGTCAATCCCCCATCCCTTGTATTCAATACATATCAAATGTATTATGCCAAAAAGTTGCTTTTTAAAAAGAGCTAAAAATAAACATTGGTTAAAAATAAACATTTTCTCAGCCCCACCTCTCATTGTATTGAGAAGAAATAACAATCTATGAGATCTCCTCGAGATCTCCTCGTTCATAACCACCTCCATGCTACCCCCTCCCCCTTTGGGACCAAGCCATGCGGGTGCAGCTGTTGTGAAACTCGCCCTTTGGTCATCCAAGCCCGACATATTCCCTTGCCTGAGATAAGGGACGGTTTCCTTTCTTTCCACCAGCCACATAGTTGTCTGCATTGTTTGTACCCGCTTCCTGATGGCTTCTCTGGGTGAGACGGTTCGGTGTGTCTCATTGACAAACTGATACACACATATGGAATCTTGACACTACATGGCATAAATGATGCTCTCCTGTCATTTGTTTGATCTTTTCTCCTCCATCTCCTTTTTACAACCAATAGCCATGGTCTTACTTTTCCTCCCACTTTTGCCTCTCTTGACTCTGTCACCTACTAAAGGTCTACCACATTCCTCTTGCTGTTGTCTCACCTACTAAAGGTCTACCACATTCCTCTTGCTGTTGTCTCACCTACTAAAGGTCTACCACATTCCTCTTGCTGTTGTCTCACCTACTAAAGGTCTACCACATTCCTCTTGCTGTCCTCTCAGATGCAACATTTCAAGTAAGTGTTAATTTTTATATTTGTCTTAGTCTTTGTTGGTTTGCTGAAGAAGGCTTTTTGTCGCCTCGTTCATTGTTTTGTTGCTACCTTTTTTCAGGTTTTCCCCAAACTTTGTTTCACATTTCCTTCTACCGCAACCTGACTGTATTCTCTCCCCTTTATTCCCTTTTATCTCAACCTGATTGCATTCTCTCCCCTTTATTTCTTTCTACCTCACCATGATTGCATTTTCTCCCCTTTATTTCCTTCTAACTAAACCTGATTGCAGTCTTTCCCCTTTATTTCCTTCTAACTCAATCTGAATGCATTATCTCCCCTTTTGTGTTCATTGGTTAGAAATCAATCAGTGTTCACTTTATAGGCTGACCTTTCAAGTTTACTCATGTGATATTTAGGGTCCACATCTCGGATGACTTGTCTCAGTGACCCATAACTTTCACAGAAGTCTGTTGTTGTCTTCACTGTTGGGTTCTTCAGGTTCACAGACAAAATTATCATTTTAAAATTAAAGTAAGAGAAAGGCAGAAACATATATGAACAGCTGTTGGTGAAGGTTAAAAAAGATGATTTTAATCTTTGAAGTAACACTTAATTATGATATTTAAATTTATGATATTGTGCATCCATCTCAAACAATCTGCACCATCTCAAACAATCAGCTCCATCTCAAACCCCATATCTCATCTCACACTTGGCTAGATCTACCAGGTTTACCAACTTTGGTATCATTCTTGGCCATTCATAAGTACATCTTATGGGAATACCTCTTCCAACCATTTTAGATAGGAACGACCAACATCAGTAGCTTGAGAGTTTAGAACCATCTTTTTGCTGTATTTAGCTATGGTTGTAATTCGTGCGATGTAAGGGACATACTGGTCTATGTTACGACCAAAGTTTTCACTCAGAGGAACGGCTTTACCAGACATGTGCCAGCCCTGAAATACAGGAATAGTTTCAAAGTTTGGTTGGAATAGTGTCAGAGTTTGGTTGGAGTAGTTTCAAAGTTTGGTTGGAATAGTTTCATAGGTTGGTTGGAATAGTTTCAAAGTTTTCTTGGAATATTTTCATAGTTTTGTTGGAATACTTTCAAAGTTTGGTAGGAATAGTTTCATAGTTTGGTTGGAATAGTTTCAAAGTTTGGTTGGAATACTTTCAAAGTTTGGTAGGAATAGTTTCATAGTTTGGTTGGAATAGTTTCAAAGTTTGGTTGGAATAGTTTCAAAGTTTGTTTGGAATAGTTTCAAAGTTTGGTTGGAATAGTTTCAAAGTTTGGTTGGAATAGTTTCATAGTTTGGTTGGAGTAGTTTCAAAGTTTGGTTGGAATACTTTCAAAGTTTGCTTGGAATAGTTTCATAGTTTGGTTGGAATAGTTACAAAGTTTGGTTGGAATATTTTCATAGTTTTGTTGGAATACTTTCAAAGTTTGGTAGGAATAGTTTCATAGTTTGGTTGGAATAGTTTCAAAGTTTGGTTGGAATACTTTCAAAGTTTGGTAGGAATAGTTTCATAGTTTGGTTGGAATAGTTTCAAAGTTTGGTTGGAATAGTTTCATAAGTTTGGTTGGAATAGTTTCAAAGTTTGTTTGGAATAGTTTCAAAGTTTGGTTGGAATAGTTTCAAAGTTTGGTTGGAATAGTTTCATAGTTTGGTTGGAATAGTTTCGAAGTTTGGTTGGAATAGTTTCATAGTTTGGTTGGAATAGTTTCAAAATTTATTTGGAATAGTTTCATAAGTTTGGTTGGAATAGTTTCAAAGTTTGGTTGGAATAGTTTCAAAGTTTGGTTGGAATAGTTTCATAGTTTGGTTGGAATAGTTTTATAGTTTGTTTGGAATAGTTTCATAGTTTGGTTGGAATAGTTTCATAGTTTGGTTGGAATAGATTCATAGTTTTGTTGGAATAGTTTCATAGTTTGGTTAGAATAGTTTCATAGTTTGGTTGGAATAGTTTCATAGTATGGTTGGAATACTTTCAAAGTTTGCTTGGAATAGTTTCATAGTTTGGTTGGAATAGTTACAAAGTTTGGTTGGAATATTTTCATAGTTTTGTTGGAATACTTTCAAAGTTTGGTAGGAATAGTTTCATAGTTTGGTTGGAATAGTTTCAAAGTTTGGTTGGAATAGTTTCAAAGTTTGGTTGGAATATCTTCAAAGTTTTGTTGGAATAGTTTCAAAATTGGGTGGTAATAAAAGTTGTACATTTCTATTTTGAAAATATTAATATTCTTTTTTTAAATGTTAAAGTAAGAACATTTATTAAATTTATTAATACAATTTCATTAAAGAACTTAATATCAGCTGTGAAGTTAGTTTTTTTCATGAAATTATTTTTAATTTAATATTTTTTACTTTAAATAAATGTTATTTTTGTGAATGCAGGTGACAAGTATCTTTCTGTCATATTTTTTTAACTTTCATTGATTCATCCACATTCTTCCTTCAATTAGTTATTCGTAATTGTCTTGTTCTACTGCTACTTCTATGCTTTTTCTACTGCTATTTCTACTGCTAGCCCTGCTAGTTCTACTGCTGGCTTTGCTGCTAGTTCTGTAGCTAGTTCTGCTGCTATTTCCACTAGTTCTAGTGCTATTTCTGATATTTCTACTAATGTCTCGGCTGCTAGCTCTGCTGCTAGTTCTTTCCATTTCTGCTGCTAGTTCTTCTGCTAGTTCTACTGCACTAATTCTGCTTGTTCTACTGCTAACTCTAATGTGCTAGTTCTACTGCTAGTTCTATTGCTAGTTCTACTACTAGCTCTACTACCAGCTCTTCTGCTAGTTCTGATAGATGTACTGCTAGTTTTATGGCAGGTCTACTGCTAATTCTGTTAGTTCTACTGCTAGCCTGCAAGTTCTACTGCAAGTTCTACTGCTAGTTCTACTGTTAGCCTGCTAGATCTGCTACTAGTTCTTTGCTGATGATTACCTCTTCATGTTCACAGAGTAAATGAACACAGAATTGCTCATCATAAAAATCTGTTGGTCCATTTGGCAAATGAGATCTCTTCCTTCTACTTACAGATGGTAATGTCTTCTGCCCAGATTTTAGTTCTTCCTTCTCTTCTGTTAAACATGCCAGAAAGGTCAAGAAAATATTAATTTGAATTTGTAGGCAACACATGTTTGCTGAGGTTTTAAAATAATTGTATATTGTTCAGCCTTAACAATACAAATTATAACAAATATGCCAGTCAAATCTCTATCTGGCAAGTTAATAGTTTGCTTAACAGGTAAAGATATGCTATCGACCACGAGATATTTATTATTAAAAATGTCAGTAACCAATATTTGGTCCATCTTTAATTAAATCTAAGGACTGTGTCTTCCCACACATACAAATTACTTTTTTCTTCAGCCCAAAAATCCACTAAAATGATGTTAGGATAAGGAGTGGGGTCCAGCTGCTCGGAAAACTCGCTGATTTGACGTAAAAATTTCCGTTGGGCCAACTCACAAAGCTCCTGAAAGAATTCAATTTTATTATTCATTTTAAGACAAGAGATAATTCTAAGAGCTTTTTGTGACAATGTGATGCCCTACAATGTAAGTCTCTAATGATATCTAGAATGTAAGTAACCTTAGAATGTAAGTGTTATAGTCTATGAGTTGAATAAGATTTTGTTCGCACCACAAGCCATAGCATTCAACCTTACCCCCCCCCCCACCCGTTTTGTTTTGATATTGACATCACCCATTAAATGTATAGCTCACTACCACACTCTCCCCTCCCTTGATTTTTATTCTCATTTGAATGAGTTGAATAAGATTTTGTTCGCACCACAAGCCCTTGCATTCAACCTTTCCCCCCCCCCCACCCGTTTTGTTTTGATATTGACATCACCCATTAAATGTATAGCTCACTACCACACTCTCCCCTCCCTTGATTTTTATTCTCATTTGTTCTAAAGAATGCTATCATGATGCTATTTCTAGAATTTCTTTTCTGGAGGGTTCTAACTTCCTCTTTATAAATAAGCCAGCAGCTTTCCAAGCCAGAAGTGATTGGCTAGATTTCCCAGACACGGAACTTAATAGACTTATAGAAGCAATACATGATGTTACTCTTTGTGTGTGTGTATTAATATTTGTATCTTTCGAGAATAACACTTCTTCCCTTGCTGTTATACTTTTTCCCTTGCTGTTATACTTTTTCCCTTGCTGTTACACTTCTTCCCTTGCTGTTATACTTCTTCCCTTGCTGTTATACTTTTTCCCTTGCTGTTATACTTTTTCCCTTGCTGTTACACTTTTTCCCTTGCTGTTACACTTCTTCACTTGCTGTGCTGTAAGTTAATATAGTTTTTATTTCTGTCTATTTGATTTAAGAGTAACATTAAATTGAATATTGTTTATATTTTAGCTTTGGTATAGTTTTATTTGTTTACTGGTTTTCAGCCCTTTTTGCGTAGTGTTCATCTAACGAGACAAACAGATTAAATTTGAAAAACCATTCAATGGTATGCAACAGTAAGTCTCTTATTATGAAACTCTAGTATAGTATTATTTATGTAAGTCTATGTCACAAAAATTGCAGCTTGAACATTGTCTCTCCCAACATTATGTGATTTCTACAGAATATTAAAAAAATAACCTTGAGGATATGACTCTTATCGCCCACTGTATTTACATCATATTTACACTGATTTAAACATTGTATTTAAAATGTAGTCATGCTGTATTGACAACTTATTTACAAATTGTACTTACATATTATTTACGTGCATTTACATTGTATTTACACTGTATTAAATGTTCATGGATCCTGTCTTAGGTGGTGAACTAAAAACATGCCATTTACAAATGTCCAACAACCAGATTTAATATATCCAGCTAAAGCAATGTATTCTTGAATACCTGAAACGACAGTCGCTGCTGTTCTTGAATGAGTTTGTTCGTCTCATCTTTCTCTCTCTTTCTTCTCTCTTCTTCGCTCTCTTTTAGAGGAACCCCTTTGGGCAGAAAGTTCCCAACCTCCCTCACCAGCTTGTCCAGTGCACTGTCACTTCTCTCTTGGAAACTCACCAGGGGGCAGTTGAGTGACAACATTCCTAGCTACAATATGACATGACAGCTGAGTGACAACATTTCTAGCTGCAATATGACATGACAGCTGAGTTACAACATTCCTAGATACAATATGAGTCAACCACTGAGTGAAAAAATTCCTAGCTACAACATGACATGACATTTGAGTGACAACATTCCTAGATACAATGTGAGTCAACCACTGAGTGAAGAAATTCCTAGCTACAACATGACATGACAGGTGAGTGGCAAAAGTCATAGATACAAAATGACATGACAGTTGAATGACAACATTCCTGGCTATAATATTTCATGGGAGTTGATGCAATCAGACATGGATGTTGATGCATTTGTCAAAAAATATTTTAGGATTTTTTTTTTCATGCATTTTAAATACCTGGTAGCTTAAAAAAAATAAATAAATACATTTAACCAGGGCAATATCTTGCTAATAGCCATTTTGAGGACACTGCTTGTCCTGTGGAAAACGTATGTGTGTGTGTGTGTGTGGGGGGGGGGGGATTTCCTAATGCTGTTAATAATTTAAAAACTGCCCTTTTGGAATAACTTTCATGGTTGGGGCAGTAGACAATGTAAGACTGTGCATGGAGTGGGCAGAAAATAAATAAATACATTTAACCAGGGCAATATCTTGCTAATAGCCATTTTGAGGACACTGCTTGTCCTGTGGAAAACGTATGTGTGTGTGTGTGTGGGGGGGGGGGATTTCCTAATGCTGTTAATAATTTCAAAACTGCACTTTTGGAATAACTGTCATGGTTGGGGCAGTAGACAATGTAAGACTGTGCATGCAGTGGGCAGTGTCCCTTTCAGACCATTTGTTTTGGGGCAGTGCATCTATCAGCACCAAAACTATATTTAAAGGCAACCAGGGCCAGATATAACTTAGCCCCCTTCACCCAACATAAAATAAATCCATCACAGAATCACCTACTGTGCATAGATTTTTCTTCAATATTCAAATTATTAAATATATCAAACACATTGGTTCCATTATTCCACTAATTTTAATCAGGTAAATTCACCCTTAAAAGTCATTTTTTAATTACATGCAAATGACTTTTCATTACTTATTTTATAAAAATTATTGTTGTACACATTGGCATCATTATGGCCCACTTTGGTGGGAAGCAAACTAATATGACTGGTCTGATGTAAAGAGATTGGGAGTAAAAGGAACCAGGAGTTGAAGATTTCTTCCCAACAATTAGACTTACCTCAGAAGCTCTCCACTTGTTCCCTGTTCCAACCACTGCCAATACAACTGGCAGTTTCAGGACTTTGACGGCATAACGAAACTCCTTGGCACAGGTGTCAGAAGCTGCGTATTGGTCAGACATACAGACCACAACCAAGCGACTGTGTATCAGACCTTCCCCAATGTCTTCAAACAGTCCATGCTGGGGACAGGATCAGTTAGCAAACCGTTATTGTTTGAATTGTAGTAGTCACTTTACTTTTATTAATTAAACAAAAACATTAATAAACATGACATAAGCATAATTTTAAGGTATCCTATTATATTGTGTGAAAAGTCTTGATCAATTAATTCTTATCTATAATTAAGCCAGACAAAATAAAGGAACAATAGATTTTTAAATATTTTTCTCAAACAATAGAAGCTTAATGTAATACTAACTATGGGTACTTCAAAATATAATCAACACCATTTGGTTCGAGGACACAAATTATAATAACATACCTGACCAACTCTTTCTACATCTATCCAACAGAGAACTCCCTTGGACTCCAGGTAATCTTTGATGTCACGAGGATCTCCATAACCAACAGCTCCCTCTGTTGTGCTGGAAGTTCAAACCATTTAGCATTCATTTTATCTTAGATAAGCGCTTCTTCTCATTTTCAATTCCCACATCACTATTTAAATGATGATGTGAAGTTTGAGATTTAAGAAAAATTCCCTAGTTTAGAACCACACAGGCAAATTTGTGTTAATTAAAGGTCAGAAAAGTTCCTGCTACCTTGAACCTTTAGCCACAGCTTTGGCTGAATTCTGCCAGCAGTAGGAAATAAAACAAGGGGGGAAACTCTTGGTTTTTGAGCCCTCTGACTCCACAGCATGTTTTTCTTTCAGTTTAGCAGCAAGCTCATCTTTTTTATGCTCATACCGACTGGCTTTCTTCATATCCACATAAAGCTAAAACATAAAAATTAAAACTTTAAATAAGTTGTTTGAATGTTTTATGTAGTACCGGTATGTTGAAATAATTTTTAAACTTGCAAATTTTTTAATGTAAGTGTAAGCCCAATTATTTTCATTTTTACTGATTTTGTTTGATATCTCTTTTTGAGTATAATTATTATTGCTTTGAATGTTTCATCATGACAAATAAAATTAATCTTTAAGACAGGGAATCAAAACCAGTCTCCACTTGAAGGTATGACACACAGTGTTATTTACAAGACTTATGTATAATCAAATTAATTGAAAATATAAAACCACAGCCAGAAATATTGAAGTAAATACACAGAAAATAAAATGAGAGAACCTTCTTTAAGTGGAACACTAAATGTGAGATGTAATGATGAAACCATCATCAGGAATACAAACCTCATCAGGAAATAAAATGCCCAGTTTGCTGCGTTTCCACTCATCACTTCCTCCCACGGCCACAAAGATCATATCTTTCCTTAAAGTCTGTCTGGCGTACTTAAACAAGTTACAGCAGTTCTCATTCTCCACATAGTTGTTGGATACAAACACCATGAAAATTTTAGCATCCAGCAGAGCTTTAGCCATTTCATCCATGGAGTCTTTTGATTCTTTAGGTATCCAACTTTCCATGAAAAGAAATTTTGATTTTTTTAAATAGTAGTTTTTAATGTCATAAAAATAAAATCTGCAATTGATTACTAATGATGGATTAGTTCTATCACTAGTTCAATTCACCCCTTTCTATCACTAGTTCAACTCACCACTTTCTATGTCTAGTTCAACTCACCACTTTCTATGACTAGTTTAACTCACCACTTTATATGACTAGTTCAACTCACCACTTATATCCAAGTTTTTCAACATCAGCAATGATTCGACTGGGTGTTAATGTTTCAGTACTTGTCAATTCATTGTCCAACTCACAGTATGACACAAATACATCTGTCAACAGAAAAGATGACTTATAGCTGGTGACAGAACTAGAAAAAACTTTATAATCTTTTACCATTGGTAAATGGGATCATTAGTATCAACATCAGTGTCAACATCAGTATCAACATCAGTGTCAACATCAGTATCAACATCAGTATCAACATCAGTATCAACATCAGTATCAACATCAGTGTCAACATCAGTATCAACATCAGTGTCATATAAGCATAATTAGATCATCAGTGTCATATAAGCATAATTAGAACATCAGTGTCATATAAGCATAATTAGATCATCAGTGTAATATAAGCATAATTAGATCATCAGTGTCATATAAGCATAATTAGATCATCAGTATCAACATCAGTGTCATATAAGCATAATTAGATCATCAGTATCAACATCAGTGTCATATAAGCATAATTAGATCATCAGTATCAACATCAGTGTCATATAAGCATAATTAGATCATCAGTATCAACATCAGTGTCATATAAGCATAATTAGATCATCAGTATCAACATCACTGTCATATAAGCATAATTAGATCATCAGTGTCATATAAGCATAATTAGATCATCAGTGTCATATAAGCATAATTAGATCATCAGTGTCATATAAGCATAATTAGATCATCAGTGTCATATAAGCATAATTAGATCATCAGTATCAACATCAGTGTCATATAAGCATAATTAGATCATCAGTATCAACATCAGTGTCATATAAGCATAATTAGATCATCAGTGTCATATAAGCATAATTAGATCATCAGTGTCGACGCCAGTAAATAAACTCAATTGTCAACTGACTCTGGGGCTGTTATCTTGTTACATGTGGTAAATGTTTGAGAACTCGAGACAATATGTCTACTTACCAGCCACAAGGTTCTTCTGCAGTTCCTTCATTCCTCTAACAGCTTGCACAAGGTGAAGGTCAAAGTCTTGGTTGCTGTCCGGTGGCATAATTGCTGTAAGATTTTTTTATTTTCGGAAAGATAAAGTCAATATATTTTTAATTCATATTTTCTTTTTCCTCAACTGTTGTGATTTCTCAACTAAATATCAGAATCAAAAAGAAGTCAATTTTTTGCATGCGTCATTTTAATTTGCTGCAAAAAATTGTAGTGTATTACAAATGTTTAGTTTAAAATCCAATGTTTCATTGCAGTGACAGCTAAACAAATGTTTAGTTGACTTACCGTGTAAGTCTGTAATGGAAATGGTGTGGAAATATTTGAGGCACTGAAGAAATGGAGACTTTAGCTCTGTAGCTCTCCTTATTATGGAGGCTGGAAACATGTGAGGGTCTTTGGCTGCCTGAAATGAGATGATATGATGCACTAGGTCATACATGCTACTCCATCGATTCAAGTCACAGTGACCAGCATCTTTTTATCTATAATAAAGCCCTACATATTTCTAAATCTATACAATTTATTTATTTATGTATGAAATAGGAATAAATAAATAATTCTGTAAATCATTTACTTTAAAATTATTTTCTTTATTAGGTTTATTGGCATGCATCCCAAAAAGAGTTGACTGAGAAGTTATGTAAGCCACCCTTGATCTTGTGGAATTATCATACCACTCCTGGGTACGCTGCCTCTCCACCCAAGCACACCTCAGATCATCGAGGTGTTGTTAATTGTTAACAATTTGTGTGATTGATACATAAATAGTACTAGACTATCTAACTTTGCTTGTTTTAGAAACATACGAGTTGCAGACACTGGATGAAAATGAGTTGGCTATACCGAGTTGTGGTTTAATATGTCAGATATTAATACAAATCAAGCCTTGGCGCAAAATGGGGTGATAACAAAAAATATATAATTCTGTTTAGAAAACTTCTGTTTGTTATTTTTGTTTTTTTAGTTTTCAATAAAATATAACCTTTTCTGGCATAAGTCGTGACGTGCGATTTTTGTAAGTTCAGTTCTATTTAGTTTGTGACAGGTTCATTCAGATTTGTGACAGGTTCATTCAGATTTGCTCATACTCAGTGAAGTTGAAGTTCTGGTTCAGTTCTATTTAGTTTGTGACAGGTTCATTCAGGTTTGCTCATACTCAGTGAAGTTGAAGTTCTGGTTCAGTTCTATTTAGTTTGTGACAGGTTCATTCAGGTTTGCTCATACTCAGTGAAGTTGAAGTTCTGGTTCAGTTCTATTTAGTTTGTGACAGGTTCATTCAGGTTTGCTCATACTCAGTGAAGTTGAAGTTCTGGTTCAGTTCTATTTAGTTTGTGACAGGTTCATTCAGGTTTGCTCATACTCAGTGAAGTTGAAGTTCTGGTTCAGTTCTATTTAGTTTGTGACAGGTTCATTCAGGTTTGCTCATACTCAGTGAAGTTGAAGTTCTGGTTCAGTTCTATTTAGTTTGTGACAGGTTCATTCAGGTTTGCTCATACTCAGTGAAGTTGAAGTTCAGGTTCAGTTCTATTTAGTTTGTGACAGGTTCATTCAGGTTTGCTCATACTCAGTGAAGTTGAAGTTCTGGTTCAGTTCTATTTAGTTTGTGACAGGTTCATTCAGATTTGCTCATACTCAGTGAAGTTGAAGTTCTGGTTCAGTTCTATTTAATTTGTGATAGGTTCATTCAGGTTTGCTCATACTCAGTGAAGTTGAAGTTCTGGTTCAGTTCTATTTAGTTTGTGACAGGTTCATTCAGGTTTGCTCATACTCAGTGAAGTTGATGTTCTGGTTCAGTTCTATTTAGTTTGTGACAGGTTCATTCAGGTTTGCTCATACTCAGTGAAGTTGAAGTTCTGGTTCAGCTCGATCATCCGCAGGGTTTTAGTTCGTTGTGTTACATTTGGGCAAGGTTTGATTCCCATCTCAAGTTTAATTCACAGTTAAGAAAAGATTATTAAAATCTGACCTAAAAGATTCTAATTGTACATTCCTGTTCAAACACAGATTTGTATAGTTTTTAATTCTGAATCTTATCTTATGTTATATTATATTTACCAATTTTAAGCAGTCTGGGCAGGGCAGGAAAAAATCATAAGTTATTCCTTGGAACGACTCCAAGATAAGAGTCTCAAACATCTCATGAACCATTAAAACAAGATTCTCAGGACGTGGGCCATAAGCTTTGACGGTTAATTCAGATTCCCTGTGAACAAATTATCAATTAGCCTTTTGTTCTCTAAACTAACTTCTATAGACTTGTGTTCTCAATGTTAACTTCTATAGCCTTGTGTTCTCTAAGTTAACTTCTGTTATAGTTTTGGGTGTAGTGGTTAAAACTTTTCAGAGAATCACTTTACATGAAATGTTTGAATCTTGCCAAACAAAAACCTAATGAATATAATTAGAGTGTTGAACATTTCATTGTTAACCAAATGGCAAGAAAGGTGAGACTACATATTAACTTTTCTAACTGGCAAACACAAATATGCCAGGATTTTATTGAAACTACTGTAGGTGTCAAATAATTTACAATTTGCTTCCCTGTGTGGTTTATTTAAGTCCTTCATATCAATTTTTTTACAATTTGGAATATGAAAAGATTTACTGAATTATTAAAAGTCCTTCAAATTTGTTGATCAAATATTTGACAGATAAAAATAGTTCAAAGAGTTGAGCACTCAACTGTTCACCATCATTTTGTCTTCCATCCCCAAAAATAATTCTTTAAAATACAAAATAATTTTCCTATTTAATTATTATATTTTAAAGATATTTAATAATTATAATCTAAAAATAGTTGCAATGAACTTACTTAGTTTGTTGAATAAGACATATATGACCATTCCTCTTCAAGTAAGACCCTCTTTTCCAAATCAAGTCACTGTCACTGAACTGATGAAGTCTAACCTGAACAAAAGTGGACACTCTTATTTTGTCTGATTATACCCTTAGGTAATGATCACTGGGGGGGATCGAATATTTACACCAGCTAGGAGGAGGTTATTGTATAAATTGAAACACCCAAATCCAGCACTTTTCTGTGGATTCCCCAAAGTGAAAAAACACTTTATTCATTGTCTAAAAGAAGTGAAAATATAATGATTGGGACCAAAAGTCTGTGGTGAATTATTTTAAATGTTTCTCATTTCAGTTCTGTTGAAAATTTGAAGAGAATGATATCCCTTGTAAATTTTCCTTTTTTTCATTGAGTTGGGGGCTGAGTTTCTTCTAAGATAATTCTGTAAGGTCTGTTCATCTTTACAGTTGTAAAAAACTTTCCAGGACTATTACTTAACTCTCACAATTCAGGATACTTAAAAAATAAATTACGTCTCACAATTCAATGCAATGTAAACATTTGTGAATACAAACAAATAACTTTTCCAGTGAAATTATTTTTAAGAGAGCTCTCTTATTGTCAAAAATAAATTTTTAAACAGTATTTACCTGCCCCCTGTTGAACAATCCAGCAGGGAGATAATCAAACTTGTAGATCATTTGTGTTTCTTTATTGTAATTGTTTCTGCTCATCTCTGGCCATTCAAACTAAAAAAAAATATTTAAAGCATCTTCATGATTTTTAAAAAATGGAACCATTTTAATATTGAACAATACAATGCACAAAGGAGAATATTTACAACAAAGTATGGAAACATTATTTTTCATGGTCAGATTGAAAAGGAGTGCACGCATATTAATAGCTCTATTGTCCTCGATATGACATTGTGTCCCTTAAAAATAACCTCTCTTTTGATACTTCAGAAATGGGTTTACTTTTGGTTGGATTTCAGGAAGTAGACAGGGCACCAGGTGTATAGGGACGTCCTTGAGAGGAAAGGTCAGGTCAAATTCTTCGGTAAGCATCAGCAGCCATTTGTGTAGCGATGAGTCATAGTCCTTCCAAACTTTCGCAACATCTGAGTGGTGAAGCTTTCCATCCTAGAAAAGTGACAGGACAGTAAGGGTATTTTAATGTTTTTGATTCTTTTCTCTTTTTAAAATATTATATATATGTAATATATAATATATATGTAATATATAATATATATGTAATATATAATATATATATTATATTTATAGATATAGATATATATAAATATATATAAAATAAAGTTAATAAAATATATATTAAAGTTGTATTTTATCAACATTTTTTTTTAGTATTTAATGAATTACGGGGATGTCAAGAGATCTCAACACAATGAAAATGGTTAAGTAACTTAATTCTGAATGTTTTTTTATTTTACATTTACTTATTGTATTTGCATTTCCTCCTCAGGAACGAGATCCAAAATAAATTCATTTAAAATTGAAATTTACTCTTAATGACTTTTTCCGAGGGTGAATTGAGCTGATTTGGAGCATTCTGTGAAAAACTTCCTTTAAATCGTATTGAAGTCATGGTTTTATTCAACAGAAATATAAAATTAGAAATCTATTATTGTATGCTGATTGGAAAGATCTAAATTGCCTTTATATGAGAGTCCTTGACAGATACCACACAAGCCATGACATCCACTATCCACTGTGGATTAACCACAACATGTGACCTGAGGTTGGCATTGGTGAAGTGTTGAAGGGATCCAAGTTCATGAAGAAATTGAACAGCATGAGCAACCTAGGCATTCAGGATGAATGTTTAAGATAACTCAATAGCATTGCATTTGATTAAAGTTAGAGGTCACAAGACAGGGCAAAGTTAAAGATGAAATGGAAGAAAATAACAAAAACACCCAAAAAACAAATGATATAAGTATATAATTTTAAAAAACTGAACAGTGAATTTACACGGATAATGAACTATTTAGATCAGTGTTTTTCAACTACGCAATTTTATTGTTTAGTGGGGCAACTTGAAAAAAAAAAAAAGATGTCTACGATTCAACTTGTATTTTAAAAGGAGAATAGTTAGAGTCTCAATAATTTTAAAGGAGAATTGTTAGACTCGAAGTGTTGAAAATAATTTAGATTTTGAATATTAAAGATTATGTGTATACTAAATAGGGGGCATACGAATTTTAGAAAGGCTTAGGTGGGGCATGGCACCAAAAAGGTTGGGAAACACTGATTTAGATCAACAAATGTTTACAAAAAAAAAAAGGTGAAGAAATAAATTGTAAGAGCCCAGGGTTTTTTTTAAGGCCTTGCCAATTGTTCTTTTACGCTGTCGAAATATATTTCATGCTATTTTTCCATTCATAATTTAACAGTTATGTAATTGTAAAAAAATTCTTTTAATATTATTTAAATAACTTAAATAAATCAGAATAAAAATCTTTTCAGTATTAAATAAAAACTGCAGGATGGAGGAGAGGTGAAGATAACTTCGGTGCTGAGACCTTTATCTTCTTATTTTAAAAATATCTTTTTACATTTAAATTTTTTATTATTTTTTTTTTTTTAAAAACATTGCAATATTTCTAGCATTTCAGATACATCAAAAGTAACCTAAAAAAGAAAGGCAGCTATAGTTTATCATAATAAGAGTTTTAAATCATTTTGTGCTTCAGAAGAAATTATAACACAACCATGTTTGTCACTTCTCCAAATAATTATATCCAAGTTAAGCTACAAACCTCTGTAGCATCAAATATTCCTGATCTGTAAGCTTTATTTTCCAGTTCCTTGTACTCAATAACACTTTTGTCCTGCATGCTGGGAATACAACTTTCTCTCTGTTTTAAGTTGCTAATTAGACAACACAGCGCATAATAACTGCTTATATTTCCTAAGTAAACTAAACTTGTTTTAAAGCAATAGAATTAACATTTCAACTAGCCAACAGATGTCATGAGTATTACATCATACAATTTGCATTCAGCAGTGGAACAATATTTTGCTTTTAGTTTAGAGTTTTATTCTTTCCCTTGGTAAGCTGGCGGGACTGATTTTCTCATCTTCTTACCCAATAATATAATCACCAACCATTTTGGATTTCTCAAATTAAATGCTGCAGGGCAGCATGGAGTTAAATAAAATAAGATTAAACTTTTGATGAAATGTTTTAGACAAAATATTTTTTCTTGTTTGCACCTCTTGATGGACTCCTCAAAACTGAGCCAGACTCCAGGAATTTTCTCCCCCATGTACTGTTGTTGTAGAGTTACCTCAATCAGTTGCTCTTGTAGTTCTTGAATGCCCTAGAAGTTTTTATATTTTTTTAACACAGAAGGAAACAGAAAATGCCATAAATTGATTTTAATTATCCTTTAAGTTTTTTCTTTAAACAATTTTAAATAAGACTTATTTTATTTTAAATTAATAAAACTTACACATCATCATCTTATTATTTTATGTTTAGTTTAATATTACCTGACCGGTGTGAGAAGATATGAAGTGAAAGCCACGAATCTGGGGATATTTTTTCTCCATTTCTATCAAAGGTAGCTCCACTTTGGACATCTGAACATGAAAATTGAAACTAATGTAAGGCTGTCATAGTATTTTGCCAATCACTTATGGGCAAAACTTAAATCTAGCCCAAATGTACTAAGTCTACAACATCTATAAAATCAATTTAAATTCACTATACATTTATTATTTATGACCATTTATTTTTGACAGATTCAAGTTCAATATTTTCTGTATAACTTTATAGAATGAAGTCTTTGCTCAGCTTAAACATCTCTTCACATGATAACAATTTGACAAAGTGACATCCAAAATACACATGACCAATGCATCAAATTTAAAAGATTTTTACAACATTCACTGACTATAAAGATTAATGTCAGAATTTTGTCTTGAAAATATAAAAAAACGACAATGTCTTAAATTAAAACAATTTACCTGACATAGATATGTATAAGTTACCTGGTCTAGGTGTGTCCCAACAACAAAAATGGGAGCCTTTGGCGCATGGACTGATATGGAACTGAGCCAAAAATGTAGCCCTGCATGCTCATGACCCAGTCGAATGTTCCACAGCAAAAGGTAAACAGCTCGGTCTGAGAGGAAAAACTGCCAGAGACGGAGAACAAAACTAGTGTAATTCAAATGTATTGAGAGAATGATAAATTATAGATTTTTTCAAAGTTGAATATCTTACCTGCCAGTGTGATATAGGTAAAGAAAGCAGATATAACATTTCATACCTGGTGAGTATTATAATAAACTGTCTGTCCAGCAAAGTCCCAAACACTGTAAGTTATTTCCCCTTCTTTAGTTTTGACAGTCCATGGACAGATGTCAATACCTGTCAATGTAAAAATAACCTCAAATAAATATGCCGCATGATAATTATTATAAGTCCTTTTTTTATAGTTTAATAAAACATTCCATTGTGATAGGAAAATTTTCTTATAATTCTTTGATGGGTTTAAATTTAAAAAACTTACCATCTGTTATTGCATCTCCTAAGTTTAGTGGAGTTTTCTTATTGTCACTGAGTAATGCTTTGACAAGACTGTTCACAGAGAGTTAACCAAGAAATGGGTAGAGAGAAACAGTTTTAACCAAATTAATTATAACTTCAAGAACATTTAATAAAAATGAAAGATTTTTAAAATGATGTCTCCCAATTTTAAACTCAAAAACATAATACAAAAAGAGAGCCTGATTTTTAAAATTATACATATATATATAAATGTGTATGTGTATATATATATATATATAAAGAGAGAGAGAGAGAGAGAGAGAGAGAGAGGAATTTATTCTCAGAGTGGCCAGGTATTAAAAACATAAAAACTAATATTTACGGGACAAATCTAGTTAAATCTGTTGGTACACCTTTAAATTTTAAACTGACCTAGTTTTACCTGCTCCGCCAAGGCCTACCAACATTAACTTTGTTCTCTGACAAGAAACTGAACCTGTGAGCAGACGTTTGAGGTAAGCTAATGTCGTGACGAAACCTTTGGCTCTTATTTCTTTAGGCGGAGTTTTCAGGCGTGGACAAGCCTCAAGCTCCACACCTGCTCCATAGAAAGAATACAAAATGTTTTGGTAATGATTTAAGGGAATACTTTAAAATATAGAAGTGGCATTCTTATTTAATTGGACCTTAGAGGACAAATATAAGATAAAAATTTAAAATTTTAAAGACAGAAAAAATTTAACACATTTATTTTATATCAATATACCACATCACGTAACAATTTTGATCATTTTTTTAACTTCTCTACCATTGCAGATGATCAGCCCAATGAACTTCAACAATTTTGTTTTAAAAATGTGACCAGGAATGACCTGGATGTTAAGTAAGTGTTGAAAAAACTCTTTTATTATTATCCTTTTTTTAAATTTATGAAATTCTCATTTAAATGCAAAAGAAAAAAATTCAAGAAGAAGCACATGTACGCTCAAGGTATGAAAAAATTTAGTTTAAAAAGATTAAATTTTTATTTTAGCATAACAATTCTGAACCATCATTTTAGATTTTAAAATAATATTACACAAACCCAAACCACATTTTTAAGTAATTTATTAATTATTTAATTTCAGTTAACTTAATTTCCAATCCCCAATTGAGCAAATTATCAGGAGAAACTTTGTGAATGCTATGATGGCAAGCTTCCCGAGTTCTACAAACTCACGTTTTAACGGCAAGCTCCCAAGTTGTGCCGATATAGTCAACAAATTGGGATTATTTCCCAAATGCAAGGTGCAAAGTTTGGTTAATTTTTTAATGTCGTCAGGGACAGTAACTATCCCATGATACTGCAGTGACAGGTACTGGAGGTTCTTCAGTTCACACAGGATTTCTGGGAATCCACTGGGTGTGTCATCATCTGAAAATATCATTAATCAGGATTTGCCTCTTCCATAAGAATATCAACAACCATAAGTATGGCCGAGCTGCCTTATCATTCTACCAGGCTATTTAAACATGGCTCAGAATGGCCAAAGACAAAAATCATAGTTACAAGACAGTATACCATTCTACAAAGGAAATGATTTATTAATTTGTAATTTTACCCTGGCTGAGTTTATCAGGTTTAATGCTTGATTGTATTAACTGTTTAAAAATAAAGTTAAGTCACAATAAATTCAGTCAATGTGTCTCTCACCTGGCGGGTCCTTCCCTGTGTAACCTAACCTTGGGAAGACATAAAACATGGTGGCATTAAGTTTCCCAATCTCCCTACTATCCAGAGTGCCATTGGTGTCTTGGTCAAACAGACGGAATATTGAAAACTTATCCTGTCGAGAAGGAAACAAATCTTCCAATTTAATTAAAGTCAATCCAAGCCTTAACGTAAGAAATTATTTTATTAAATATCAAACAAATATTATAAAGATATGATAATCATATCTATCATCGGCCGTCATTAAGCTTAACACATGCAATAAACATTCACGAGCTTAGCAATGAGCATCTATTTCTATTGATAACAACTAACCTGATTGTGTCTTTCAAGCCACTGAGCCAAGTTGTTGACTCTGAGAAAATCTTCAAAGTTTTCCTTAGACAATAAACTATTGGACCTGCTCTTGACCCACATGACTCCATTCAAGGACAGCGTTGTCAGTTGTTGGAGATTACGCATGCTGTCAGGCAAGCTTGTAAGACAGTTGCCGCTGAGAGACAAAATTTCCAGCTTGTTTAGATCTCCCAAGTTTTCTGGCAACGATGGCAGCTGGAGGTGCTGGGCATACAGACGTGTCAGATTTTTCAACTTGAGAACCACTCCAGGAAATTCTTGACAGAGAAAGAGAAATTTATTTATTTGTAAATACAATATTGGTAGATGGGTTTTGAACTTTACAAAAAAAAGGTGTTAAAATGATACAAAATGATACAAAATGATACTTGTTTGCTAGCTTACATAAAAATACATGAAAACTAATCAATTATAGCACTGTTTAGTCAGACATGCCAAACACCTGAAGTTCCAAACTTGAAGAATTTTTTTTAAACTATATAGCTAAAATGTATTTATGCTAATTATTTCCTCATCGTCACAAATTGCATATGTGCTAAAAAATCTTTATTTTGTATGATGTCTACACTTGTATGAACCATTTATAACTATATCTAATGTTAGACTTTCACACATATGATTTCCCCATGACTCTATTTCTATAATCAGTTTGCAATTTTTATAGCACTGAAAATAACTGAGTCAGTATTACTGTGAGGCACTGGTAATTGAGTCAGTATTACTGTGAGGCACTGGTAATTGAGTCAGTATTACTGTGACGCACTGGTAATTGAGTCAGTATTACTGTGAGGCACTGGTAATTGAGTCAGTATTACTGTGAGGCACTGGTAATTGAGTCAGTATTACTGTGAGGCACTGGTAATTGAGTCAGTATTACTGTGAGGCACTGGTAATTGAGTCAGTATTACTGTGACGCACTGGTAATTGAGTCAGTATTACTGTGAGGCACTGGTAACTGAGTCAGTATTACTGTGAGGCACTGGTAATTGAGTCAGTATTACTGTGAGGCACTGGTAATTGAGTCAGTATTACTGTGAGGCACTGGTAATTGAGTCAGTATTACTGTGAGGCACTGGTAATTGAGTCAGTATTAGCGCGGTTCATCCAGAAATGAGAGTGAGAAGGCTAGGTGTGTGTTGATTGCCTTCTTCCTCTTTAATATTTTAATTAAAAAATAAATTATTTAGTTTTAAAAAATCTTGTTCAACGCTTTAAACATTATTTTACATATTGTTTCCATAAGTTCCTTGTCAACTGATTTAAAAGATGAAAATATATATTTTAATTTTCTTTTCAGCCATATTTTGTGTTGATCTGTGAAATAATCATTTAAAAATTTAATATTCATTTTGTTACCTGCAAAATTATTTTTGTCTATATCCAGTCTGGTCAGTTCTTGGCATCTTTTGAGTGAGTGGGGCAGTTTGGTCAAGCAATTTTCTGAGACAGACAGGGTCACCAACTGTTTGCAGTTGCCTATTTCATTGGGTAATGACTTGAGCATGTTACCGCTGACACTTAGATCTTTCAGGTTTCCCATGGCTGTGTGTACGACAAGAAACTAATATCACAAGCTAGGCCAGGCTACTACAAGCTTGGCCAGGCTACTAAAAGCTAGGCCAGGCTACTACAAGCTAGGCCAGGCTTCTATAAGCTAGGCCAGGCTATTACAAGCTATACCAGGCTACTACAAGCTATACCAGGCAACTACAAGCTAGGCCAGGCTACTACAAGCTAGGCCAGGCTACTACAAGCTAGGCCAGGCTACTACAAGCTAAACCAGGCTACTACAAGCTAGGCCAGGCTATTACAAGCTAGGCCAGGCTACTACAAGCTAATCATGTTGATGTGTTCAACAAGAAACTTATAAGTGAGGCCAAAAATGAATGACCACGTCATTTGTTATCTTATTACAAGACAATAGTAGAAAAATATCATCTATGCTTAATTATGATAAATTTAGGCTAAAACCAGATGAGTGAATTAAATACTGTTTATTAAGATTATCACAAATGTATTTGGTTAATAGTGGAATAAATCATGCACTGAAGAACAAGTTATGCTTTAATTACTAAGTATACTGGTATATCTTTTATTTCTTGTTGCACATGCATGGATGCCCAGTTTTAAAATGCTTACTAGTAAAGAGTAGTGGTGGAAGCTCTGAGAGATTGTTTCCACTGAGATTCAGGGAGTAAATGAACTGTGGGTAGAGGCCAGGGACTTCTGAGAAGTGTTCTAGACCTTTGTTGACTTGCCAGCTGGACCTATGAGATTCACACATCAACAAGTAGTCATCTGAGAATGGAGGAAGCATCTTCACCAAACACTGTGTCTCTCCATTGTAGATCATTAGTTCTTTCAGTTGCTGCAGATGAAAGCATCAGGCTTATATCTAGCTATCATAATTTTTTATATTGTTTTCTCGTTATCAATCCATCTTCAAAGGAATTCTTTTAAAAAAACAGGTACAAAGTGATTTTAATATTAATAATATATCATACAATTGAATTACTTGAACGCACATGATGACAAGATTTATATTTTGAGGAGAGACCAAAAGTAAACAAGTTTTTTTTTCTACTACAACTGCTCAATTTCATAATTAATTAAACAAATTACAGCTAATAGCATAATACAACTTGGATTGTGAACAAAGTAACAGAATAATTCAAAATGGATTGTTAGACAAATTAACAGAAAATTTCCACTTGGATGCTATCTTTTCAATGGCACGCTACAAACCTCGACAGCGTCATCAGTTATTGTGGTTTTGTAATCAAAATCTTTTCCCAGACCAAATAAAAGAACTTGACTTAGCAGTTCCACCACTTTAAAGAGACCTTTATTGATCTGTTGATAAGTATACATTTAATATTGTTATTCACAAAAGATATACAATTAAAACAATAATCTGAATAATTTTATAACTTTTAAGACAAAAACTTTTCATTTTGGAAAAAAAAATGTTTTTTTTAAACAGATTTAATCAACTGTTATATAGTCTAATTAAATAATTAAAAGGTTAAAGGTCCATAAAGTAGTGCATCCGGAAATTTGATCGAAAGAAATTTCGTTAACGGTAAATTGATTGACGGTAATTTGATAGAACAGAAATTTGGTCGAAACTTTTTTCAGTTTTTACGTTAAAGTTTTGCTTCAATTTTCTTTTTGAACGCATTATTTTTGTTTTACTATATAGTAGAGTGCGTTCAAAAAGAAATTTGATGAAAATTTTAACGTGTGAACTGAAAAAAAGATTCTACCAAATTTCCGTTCGATCAAATTTCCGTCGATCAATTTACAGTCGACAAAATTTCTTTCGATCAAATTTCCGGTAATCATAAAGTGGGAATACATTAAAAATTATTTGACTTCTTGAATTTTAAAAAATTTATTACCTGATGAGGTGAGAGATTGTCTATTTTTGCGATGTTGCTGGTCAAAGCATTAAATTGTATCAGTGAGTCCTAAGATGAAATAAACATTGAAAATTGTGTAACCATTTTGTCTATGTTAGACTGAAAGAAACAGACTCCAGGTGGGAGGCAGGGGAATGTTTTTACATATATTTCATTCCATTGATTGTTTAATAACTTAGAACAATATTCTCAAACATTTTAACGATGTATTTTTAATTAATTTAATGATGCAGTTGTTCAACAAATTATTTCTTAATTTTGATCCCCTGTCTTAAATTTTACCTTCTGTAACCTCAACAATAAAACCATCCAAGCCCACAAAATGGCAAGACTAGATCGATTGTTTGTGTACATCACATCCAGCCAGGTGCCAGTGTTGGCCGACTGCTCTGACTCTGCTGTGTTCACCTTGGGTTCGAACCCAGGATTATCCACCATGTGGACATTGTGAAAACACTCCAGGGTAGGTAACTGAGGGGCACTTGGTCCCACGGATGCTACAGTGTTGACATCAGCTTTTGATATAGGATCATAGATATAGAGAGATAAATTACTTCATTCATTTTTACAAATAAACTTATATCTCTTCTTGGTTATAAAAAAAATATTTCATACCATTCTAAAGATGATTCCATCTGCAATATCCCACAAGAATTTAGAAGCATTTATGTTCTCTAGTACATATATCTATACATTTAGGGTCATATGCATTCATGTTCTCTAGTACATAGGGCCTATATCTGTTGGGTTAGGGTAGATGCATTCATGTTCTATTTTAAATTATCTCAACAAATCACATATCCTGCATGTCCCATTCTTTTTTATATAACTAATTTAACCATCATAAGCATGTAAAAAAAGAAGAAAAAAACAGACAGAAGCACTCAGAAGTAGATGTATAATTGGATTGCCAGATTTTTCTGACAACTGTTTTCAAGTCTCACCTCTAAAACAACAGAGAGGATGAAGTTTGAATTTCTCAGTCAGTCTCTGCTGTGAGCAAACAATGAGGTCCTCTTTGGTTAAACTCGCTGGTAGCATCAGAAGGGCTGTCACTATTTGTGAAATCAAGTTGTATTTTTAAATTTTCTTTTATTAAGATCCAGTAACATTTCATTTTTTAAAAATCAGAATAGTAGCAAATAAGGAATAAAAGTTTTTGTTTTTAAGTGACCTATTGTTAAATGTATACGGGCACTAGGTGCCAAATACTAGATTTAAAAGAGGACAGAAGTTTTGAACATTTTCTTCAGCGCCATTTCTTTAGGTCATAAAATTCTTTCACCAACTACTTGCACGGTGTCATGCGAAGGCCAAATGATATTTGTACAGCATTCATAAACTAAATGTACAGCTATTAAAATACAATAGAGTTACATCTATTGATATATAATTTAATTTCAATTACTTGGGAAGTTCCATTTGCCATCTGTAAACATGATCTTTTCTAAACTGTCCCTCCATTGGACTTGTTTTGTGTACATTGCTTTGGAAAATACATGAAATAGCTATTGAGAGTATAAATAAAGCATTAGCTCCTAAAGTATAAGCTATTTTAACAGAGTATACTATTTCATAGGATATGCTATTTCAACAAAGTATTTAATTTAGATAAACATGGCTAATAACTAGCTGATAACTAGCTGACAATCAGCATTAAAATTTTAAAGTGTCAATAATAGCAAAAACATTTCTGTTCCCTTTTAAGTGGGGTTTCTTCCATGGGAAGGGGGGGAAGACTGGTAGGCTTTTCTAACTGACTTCAGAAATAAAATATATCATAAAAAATAAAAAATAAAACTTTCATTCTTATTACATGATGGCAAGTCAATGGCTATACAAGAGGAGATAAGCTCGGCAGTGAGTTGACTGCTGGAAGTACTGGAAGGTTGGTCCTGAGGTCCCTGATCACCTAGACTTTGTCTCCCTTTCATCAGGGCACTGAACCCACAAGGCACCTGATACTAAATGTGGTTAGAAAAGGAAACATCAGTTCTATGAATAGTCCTCTTATTTTGGTCTCGACAATTATGTATTTGACCTGGTTTCTTATATTTGTTTGAATTAAAAGATTTATTTTTAAGCAAAATGAGTTGCCATAGTTTCATAGAAGTTCTGAAAGTAAATTTAAATTGTAATACTTTTAAAATTGATGTTAATTATTTTAAGGTACAAAACTATTTCTAAATAAGCAAAGTTTTATAAAAAAAAAAAGAATAATCTTCTATTATTTGTGCACAAATTCTTGTATATGACAATTTTCTTGTAAATGACACTTTGCTTGTATTAGTCACTTTATGTCCTGTGTAATGTTATTGTATTTATTTACCTAACACAGATTGGCATTAGATAGCTACTAGCAAAATCATTACCATTGTTAAGATATTATGATATTTTGCTTTATGTTCAGAATGTTATTTAGTGTAACCAACTTAAGAATGTTAGTTAGTGTAACCAACTTATATGGCAATTTTTTAAATTTTTTTTATGAGCAATTAAAAAATCAAATGTTTGATAGATTCTGTAATGAAATGAAATCCATTAAATATAAGCCATGCAGGAAATCCTGTACTGTTACACATGGTGAATTGGTTGATGTAAAGCTGGTTGGTTCAAATAAATATGCTTATAAGTTAAGAATGTTTATTGTTGTGTTGTTTTATTGTAGTGTAAATGATGGCATGCATTTTCTTACCTTTAAAAATGCAGTTAGTGGCACTGGACTTCTGATGGCATTATTCTCATCTTGACAAAATGGGAAAAACAATTTTTAATTTCTTGGGAGCAGAAAATGCCTTTAAACAAAATTAATTTGTAAGAAATACTGTCTGTGATATTGTCTGTGATAGTGTCTGTGAAACTGTCAGGCTTATTGTCTGTGGATTATCTGTGATACTGTCATTGATACTGTCTGTGTTATTGCCTGTGTTATAGCCTGTGATGTTGTCTGTGATAAAAATTATCTTCTATAAGAAATATAAATAAATATTTAGGCCCACTTAATTTCTTGCTTTATTCCCATTGCTATTTTGATTTTCGTGAAATTCAAAGCAGAGTATATGAAATTTTTACCATTTGGAATTTCTGAAGCTAAATTTTTCCCCAAAGCTTGAGTTGTACCAACAGGCATCAGTTGGGGGCTGGTGAAGACATACTGCCTCTGCTGGCCATTGATTTCTTAAAAAAGAAACAGACACATTAAAATCTTCAATTGAGAGGAGATGCAGTAAAATGTTAGATTTAAAGAAAGTTCATTTAAAAACTTGTCATTTCAAAACATGTCATTTCAAACTAATGGCAAACTTAAGCTTTCTTTCAGAAATTATGCTGTAATTGGTTATTTGAATTTTCAAACAGTAAAATATTGAGTAAAACAAATAAAAACCTATCATTAACAAAAAATTAAAAGTAATTTCTCTCAGGGGAATTTTGTAAAAAAAATTAATTCCACAAAATGCTGTGTCAGCCCACACATTTTAACACATTAATTTCAGCTTTTCTCTACGAACAATATGGCATCTAGATAATTTCCATATCTTTTACACCTATTATTTGTAAAATTATTTTTAGAAAGAGCAATAATTAAATCCCCTATAATTATTAAATAAAAAATCTGAAAATTCTACTAATAAAACCTCTGCTAATACAATCTCTACTAATAAAACCTCTGCTAATACAATCTCTACTTATCAAACATCTGCTAATACAATCTCTACAAATAAAACCTCTGCTAATACAATCTCTACAAATAAAACATCTGCTAATACAATCTCTACTAATAAAACCTCTGCTAATACAATCTCTACTAATAAAACCTCTGCTAATACAATCTCTACTAATAAAACCTCTGCTAATACAATCTCTACTAATAAAGCCTCTGCTACTGATCCCTGCTTTAAGTTAGTTTCTGACCTAATTTGAGGTAGCCTTGATCCGATTTCTCCAATATAACAGCAGGATGAGATGTGTTTCCATCTTCTGCTACTTCCAAAATTGATCCAACATTAAATTTGTTGTCTTGGAGTTGCCAAGCTTCCTAAATTATTAAATGATTTTTTTTTCAAATTGGGACATTATTTTTTCTAAATTAAAAAAAAGCAGATTTTCAAATTTGCTATCACGAGATGTCTGTCAGTGACAGTGCTCCAGATACTTTTGACTGACATACTACATGAAATGTTAAAAAAAAAAATTACAAATATCACCCAGCAGTAAATGATGCATAAATCCTGTTTACACATTCAAAAAATCCTTTTAAAAAAAAAAATGAGTAATGGCACATAAAGTATCTTATATGGGAATTACAAATCTTGAAATTCTAAAATGATATTCAGAGTATGGCTACATGTTAGCTATTGACATCTATGCTGGTATTCAAATAAATTATTCACATATATTATTAAGATTCATCTGATAAATATGTAATATTAAACATAACATACATTAGTTTAGTAAGTTTCATAACATAAAAATTATTTTTTTCCTGATCCTTACTGCCTTAAATGCCTTATGTATGGTTTGAATGCCAGGTGTATGCATGATGTATGTTCTCACCTTAATGCCAGGTGAATGTATGTTGTATGTTCTCACCTTAATGCCAGGTGCATGTATCATTCTCACCTTAATGCCAGGTGCATGTATGTTGTATGTTCTCACCTTAATGCCAGGAGTATGTATAATGTATGTTCCAGGTTTCTCAGAGTTGAGGTCCAGTTTCATGTGCCATCCATCAACCTCTTCACTCAGACATTCCAGGCCTTTCAAGAATATTACAACCCTCACACGCTGTCCAAGCTATAAATTAAATATTTGTTGAACTTTCATGTCCAGCACTCTAAATTGACTCAAAAATGATCAAGTATGAAAATTTAATGAAAGAAATTATGTTACGCACTGGCTTCTCTTATGAGAAATTAATCTCCTATATAAATTTATGACTCGTTCAAACAGGGCCTAACAAAGGACGATACCATAGATAAATACAATATTAAAATTACGACACCCAAAATAGTACCAATTACAATTAATAACATTTAATTTAATAATAATACGATTACAAAAACAAAAGAAATATCATTACAAATCATCAACTTACAGTATGGTAGATCTTGTACCGGTACACAGTTAAGACAGTTAGTACAATGTGCCAATTAATAATGTACAGTGACGAAAGCGAATAAACACATAAGTACACAAAGAATGATACACGTCTCGTGAAGTTCAAATATATCTATCTGAATCTCTCGTCCCAATATGCCTGTCAATCCCTTTATATATAGGGGTCTACCGACGCGTAAGCCCTGACTTCCAGAAGCTACTCAGCATTTGTTTACATTTCTAGAACAATCGCAAACATTCTACAAAATACTAGGAGAAATCCTAACCATGTTTAATTGGAAAGGCGGTGGTAAGCAAGATACATCAAACGAATAGGCCACCCCCGCAACAAGCCCTGACGTCTGCTAGGGATCTAATTAAGGTCAAGCAAAGTTCAAGCACTGGAAAATAGTGTACTACATTACAAATCATATGTAATAAATGTGATGCTTGATCAAGAAAATAGTTAACACTGATAGGTCCAACATTTTATATATTATGATTAGTGCCCTAGAATACAATAAAGATTCAATTTTAACAATGAATTCTTCATAAAATAATTAGTAGTGTATGTGTTACCAATAACAAGTAGTGCACATAATATTAATCTCGCTCTGACCTTGACACACTCAAGCTTGATGTTGATCAGGTTTGCGTCACGACTCATCCACAGGTCATTTTGGTGAGCTTTCCCATTCTGGTCAATCAGCACACCTGCTTGACCATGATACTCTATTGTTTTGCCTGAGCCACTGGAAGTATCAAGACATTTTTCCAACAAGTTTAAATAGCTGACTGACACTTTTCCTTGAAGTTAAATTATTTTAGCACTTTCATGGGAAAAACTGAGACATGTTTTCCGACATAATGATGCTGACAAGTTGATTTTTTTAAATCGGTTACATAAATAATGAAACCTGGTTACATTGATGAAAAACCTACATAAAGAATGAAACATTGATCAATAACCTTTTGGAACATTTTAAATATAGTTATGAAACATCTATCAAAACACCTTTTGGAATAGTTTAAGTAATGAAACCTCTCCAAAACACCTTTGTAACAGTTTAAGTAATGAAACATCTGTCAAAACATCTTTTGGAACAGTTTCGTTAAAAAACTGTGAATATTGCATGAACACTCATGATGTAAAATGTGGAGCATTTTCAATGGGAAAGAAAAGATATCTCAAATGTTTCCCTCTAGGACCTTGATGTTTGATCTAAAAACAACAGTTTAAAATAACTAACAACCACAAGCCAATCACAGTAGCAAGGGATGTGCACTTAAAATAAATTAAAATATTAAATACCATTCATCAAAAACTATTTTTCTGAAAAAAACTTTTAAAAATTTGCCTCTCACCAATAAAAAAAGATTGAGTTTTTGTGTGTGCTCTGGCTTAAATTTTTCATGGCATCCATTACAATTACAATTACATATTGTAAAATTAACTATTTCTTACAACGTCAAATGGAGATAGAAGTTAGCTCCCCTTAGAGTGGTTATGAAAATCTCATCCCAATAAAATGGCGTCATTGCCGGGAGGAGCTGCATGCGGTGACCTTTTTTGTAGAAATAGACAGAACCCTTTGTGTTGCTAAGAATACGTTCATCATCTTTCATCTCTCCATCTTTCATTCTCTGTAACTTGAAGGACTTGGATGTAATGTGGCCAGGTTGGACAGTTTTGGCAAGTTTCTAAAATTAAAATAATTCTTACACTTATCAAATATCATGAAAAAACCAGGACGATAAGAATACCAACAATTCTTACACTTATCAAATATCATGAAAAAACCAGGACGATAAGAATACCAACAATTAATATTTATAACAGAAGAATGTCGGCAATAAAATAAACTTCGGACCTAAAGATTTAGACCAGAGATTTCTTCAATAGACCAGGGATTTCTTCAATAGACCAGGGATTTCTTCAATAGACCAGGGATTTCTTCAATGCTTGTGAATGATTTCATTTTACGGGAACAATAAATCTCATTTTATAATTTACTTACAGCCAAATGATGGGTGCACTGAGCGCAAATCCCACAATGCAAACAAGGAACATCAAGAGACTCTCCACAGTAAAAACATCTGTGACAGAGATAAAAGTACAAATCAAAGTCTGCTGAAAACTTGACGACATCGCCACATTTTAGCTTTTAAGTTATCTTCTTTCTCTAGAAACTTCTATATTTTGAGATCGTTGATCATTTTACTTGTCTGTTAAATTATAAATATAGATTGATTAATTTATATTAATTAAAATTTATTTGGAAATATTTACATATAACATTTTGGAATGAAATTGACCTTTCCTGTGCATCCATTGGTCGATGGCGCTCTGCCCTAATAGCTTCATCAATGACAGTGATTGCTTCAATGTGATATGGATAGTTGTGCAGGGGGACAAGTTTTCCTGCATTATGCAAAATTATGAATTTTTTATACAAAATATTCTATACATGATAACAAAACCAGCCATATTTCATAATTAAATATTTTTTAAAAACCATAAAATAAAGTCGAGTTTGATTATTGTGTCACCTGACTGATTGTCTTCAGCATCACTGAGATGTAAAGGGTTAATAAGTATTGTAACCTGTGGTATTTATTATGGCCGATATGATTGTTATTTATTTTGGCAAAGTTTAGCTATTCAGTATGGTTACCAGAAATTTTATCAAAAGAAATTCACTATACTACCTAGTGAAACAAAATAATGTGTTCAAAAAGAAATTCACTATACTACCTGGTGAAACGAAATAATGTGTTCAAAAAGAAATTCACTATACTACCTAGTGAAACAAAATAATGTGTTCAAAAAGAAATTCACTATACTACCTGGTGAAACAAAATAATGTGTTCAAAAAGAAATTCACTATACTACCTAGTGAAACAAAATAATGTGTTCAAAAAGAAATTCACTATACTACCTGGTGAAACAAAATAATGTGTTCAAAAAGAAATTCACTATACTACCTAGTGAAACAAAATAATGTGTTCAAAAAGAAATTTGAAGCAGAATTTTAATGTTAAAAACTGAATAAAAGTTTTGACCAAATTTCCGTTCGATCAAATTACCGTCGATCATTTTAACGTTGCCGAAATTTCTTTCGATCAAATTTCCGGATACGATTCAGTAGATCACATGGACATGGACAACTTGTGAAAATGAATTGCAGAGTCTGGGTTCTTCACACATCACTTTTATTTTTGAAAATGACTTCACATAAACATCTTCACAAATGTATTATTTCTCAATTCACATAAGATGAAATTTAGAATAGTATTCAACATGGCCCAAGATAAATTCATTGACTTTCTCTAGAAATATAATTATATTGTGTCACTTGAAATTCTACATACGTCCACACTCAGGAATAGACTTGCCTTGACTGCCTAATTTAAAATGCTTTCAATATGGATGATGATATAGTTCCTTAATTGTTCATTATTAATATTGTCATGCCTCGTAGGTTGAGACTTTGGTGTGTTTTACTTTAGTAATAAACAAAAACCAAGTATATTTACCTGACTGATCTTCCTGAGCATCATAGAGATTCATAGGGTAAATATGTGGATGTTTTCTACAAGCCATGGTCTTGCTGGCGATGGCAATATAATAAGGAAGATGTCTGTTCTGTGTTAAGTTGAGAATTCCATCGATGCTATTCTCTGTACACTCTTGACATGGCAGAGTGATCTGTTGGATAGATGTACAAGTTGAGTGATATCTCGAGATGAAATATCTAATCCAGTTAATTTTACTTTTACTGTTTAACGGTGATTGATGAAATAAAAAATTGGATTCAACTTCAAATTGTTTTAATATCATTCTTTTTCAAACCGACAAAAATAATTTTTTTTTGTAAACTAGCATTGCTGAGACCAGAGAGTTGGTAAACATTTTAAAAATAAATGGATTTTCATTTATGTCTATAAGGTCAAATTTTAAAGTTTTATCAAGGTTTTATTAACATTAGCAATAAACTATGAAGAATAAAAAAAATACCTCAAAATCAGTAAAGGTTTTCATATTCCCAATGAAACCATTTATCATTTATGTCAGTTAAATCTTGATATTCTTAAACTGAAACAATGTATCATTTGTGTAAAAAAATTTAAAATGAAATGATCAAATTGCTATGAGAAATTCTTACACAAGCATAGACTTTAGTTTTCAGACACACACTGTCCACTACAAGCATGACCTGTCTTAGGCAGGAGAACATTAAATGGTGTGCCTGTTGGACTGATGCGGGAATTTCTGTACTTAGATCCAAATTTTTTCGAATGTCCAGCACTCGTGCTGACAACACTAGAACAGGAGTTCCTACAAATTTGGGAAGAAATTATTATGTATTTTTATTTGAATATTTATCAAATTCATCAATATAGTTTGTTTTCGGTTTATTTTTAACAGTTATAAATTTGGAAAAATTGGAAGAGAATTGTTCAAATCAAAATTCATTCAAATCTTTCCAGAATTAAAACATAACATTTTTTTCTATAATTTAAAAGTTGTACTATCAAAATTTCCTCCTTGGTATCTGTGCAAAGAGGCTTTGATGTCCACTGGTCCCTGGCGCAACAGAAACCCTGTTTTCCAGATGCAGACAGGTCTAAACACTTTAAGTATAGTCCTACAAACAAACACAAGTTTTATTATTCTATTATAATAAATGTGATGAATTGTGTAATGACTAAAATAATTAAATAAATCAAACAGTTTACGAAGCATGTAAAAAAACATTTTAAAATTAATTTTAAAATATATGTAAGATATCTGTTAAGTACTTATGGTTCAATGAAAAAAAACTAACGATAAGAGCAGACTGTTCACATGTACCTGAGGAGTTTGTACATGAATCCTGCAGGAATCGTCGGCAGAAGATTGTAGCACCTGTTGATTTGGAACATTCTTTGCTTTGGACTTGGCTCAGGCCACAAGTTTTCCTGGAAAATTATGGAAAAAATGAAGTTTTTGTATGAAATCTGGTCAAATATTTTAAATCAAATTCACACTCAAAAGTTAATTTGAAAATATTTGTAAATGTATAGTATAATGGTTGAGGTACTAATGTAGAGATGGTATAATAACTTTAAATATTTTGAAGACTTATATCTTGCTACATTATCAAACAGGATCATGAGACAAATGTGTTCAAACAGGATAATGAGACAAATGTGGTAAATGTTGATCTCCATTTAAATACTTGTTAAACTTGAATGTAAAACTCACCAAAAGATTGTGAGACTCAGGAAGATCTGCAGTCCTTACAAACACAAACTGGCCCGATGGAATTTTCTCTACCAACTGGCAACCCATTTTGAGTAGAATCCCCTGGCGTTTCAGTAAAGCTAAAGCGTCTGAGACCTGGAGAGAAAAGTGGGAATCATGTTTTGATATTTTTGACATTTTTAACCATTGACAATAAAATCTGAAATTTATTACAAATCTTTACCGGAACCTAAGCATGTAGTTCTCAAGTTAGAGGCTATTTTAGAAAAGGTAATACAAAAATTATTTACTTGAAATAAGGTATATGGAGGCCTGACTCAAAAGACAGGAAAATAAGATAACATTTCAGCTAAGAGCCTTCCTTAGCAGACAGGACAAATGAAAATAAGAAACTAGTTAAAAACTTAAATTATTGCCATTGTTGTTGTCGGTAGTTGGATTTAAGTAAAAAAAAGGTTGAGTACAGACATAATGAGGACAAACATGTTGAGTACAAACATAATGAGGACAAACAAGTTGAGTACAAACATGTTGAGTACAAACATGTTGAGTACAAACATGATGAGTACAAACATAATGAGGACAAACATATTGAGTACAAACAAATGAGGACAAACATGTTGAGTACAAACATAATGAGTACAAACATGTTGAGTACAAACATGTTGAGGACATACGTGTTGAGGACATATGTGTTGAGGACATATGTGTTGAGGACATGTGTTTAGGACATATGTGTTTAGGACATATGTGTTTAGGACATATGTGTTTAGGACATATGTGTTTAGGACATATGTGTTGAGGACATATGTGTTGAGGACATATGTGTTGAGGAATATGTGTTGAGGACATATGTGTTGAGGTCATAAGTGTTGAGGACAAATGTGTTGAGGACATATGTGTTGAGGACATGTGTGTTGAGGACATATGTGTTGAGGACATATGTGTTTAGGACATATGTGTTGAGGACATATGTGTTGAGGACATAGGTGTTGAGGACATATGTGTTTAGGACATATATTGAGGACATATGTGTTGTGGACATATGTGTTGACGACATATGTGTTGAAGACATATGTGTTGAGGACAAATGTTTTGAGGACATATGTGTTGAGGACATATGTGTTGAGGACATATGTGTTTAGGACATATTGTTAAGGACATATGTGTTTAGGACATATGTGTTGAGGACATATGTGTTGAGGACATATGTGTTGAGGACATATGTGTTGAGGACATATGTGTTGAGGACATATGTGTTGAGGACATATGTGTTGAGGACATGTATTGAGGACATATGTGTTGAGGACATATGTGTTGAGGACATATGTGTTGAAGACATATGTGTTGAGGACAAATGTTTTGAGGACATATGTGTTGAGGACATATGTGTTTAGGACATATTGTTAAGGACATATGTGTTGAGGACATATGTGTTGAGGACATATGTGTTGAGGACATATGTGTTGAGGACATATGTGTTTAGGACATGTGTTAAGGACATATGTGTTGAGGACATATGTGTTAAGGACATATGTGTTGAGGAAATATGTGTTGAGGATATATGTGTTGAGGACATATGTGTTTAGGACATATGTGTTTAGTACATATGTGTTTAGGACATGTGTGTTGAGGACATATGTGTTGAGGACATATGTGTTTAGGACATATGTGTTTAGGACATATGTGTTGAGGACATATGTGTTGAGGACATATGTGTTGAGGAATATGTGTTGAGGACATATGTGTTGAGGCCATAAGTGTTGAGGACATATGTGTTGAGGACATATGTGTTGAGGACATGTGTGTTGATGACATGTGTGTTGAGGACATATGTGTTGAGGACATATGTGTTTAGGACATATGTGTTGAGGACATATGTGTTGAGGACATATGTGTTGAGGACATATGTGTTTAGGACATATGTGTTTAGACACATGTGTTGAGGACATATGTGTTGAGGACATATGTGTTGAGGACATATGTGTTTGGGACATGTGTTGAGGACATATGTGTTGAGGACATATGTGTTGAGGACATATGTGTTGAGGATATGTGTTGAGGACATATGTGTTTAGGACATATGTGTTGAGGACATATGTGTTGAGGACATATCTGTTGAGGATATATCTGTTGAGGACATATGTGTTGATTACATACATGTTGAGGAAAAACATGTTGAGGACAAACATGTTGAGGACTAAAGTTGTTTAGCATCATTGCATTACCTTAACATCCAGTTTTTCTGATTGTATCCATGCATCCATAGAATCTAACTTCCAACAAGGCACTTCCTGCCCCACAGATATGACCTTGACCTTGTCAGGGGGAGTAGCTGAAGTTAATTTATTCAGCAGCTTTTCATAGCCCTTTAAATGAGTCACACACAAGCTTTTGTGCTGGTGCCACAAGTACAGACCAGCCCCCTGGGATGAGGTCAAGAAGACAATCAAGGGAGACAATAAAAACATAGAATTTCTGTGCTATAAATCCAAAATATTAACAAATTATTTGGACTTCAACGACTAGATATAGATCGATCTGTTATAGCTTTTTGATGAACTATAGATTTAATTTTAAATCATTTGTTTGATTGCCCCTCTTAACTTCAGAGAAAACTATAAAATAACTGAAAAAGTATTACCATAAATATTTCATCACCCTGACGAAATAGTTAGATTTGATCCTATAATATACAGGGAGATACATTTTAGCAAAGATACTTAAAGAAAATTTTTTAACTGTATTTAAAACACACAACAATTTATTGTGCAGAGTTTCGTTTTCTTATAAATATTGTATAATCGTATTATTAATATAAAGTGTTTTTTTAAGTAATAAATACCCAATTTTGAAGCAGGTTGAGAACCTTCCCTAATTTAGGGAAAGAGAATAATTTGGGAAATAAGTTTCTCATCTCGTCATTAGTCTGAGTAAACAAAGAAGCTTGTGTGGCTGCAGTCAGCTTGGGAAACTTTAGTTTAGGAAACAGAAATAAATACAAACTGTAATGCAAGGGAAGTTATGAATCATGAGAATTTAAATCATCTTTTATAAACGTTGAATTAACAACAACAGCAAAAAAAGTAAAAATACTTGAGAGTGTTATGTAGCACAGCTGGTAGAATGTATATAAAAGTAAAAATACTTGAGACTGTTATGTAGCACAGCTGGTAGAATGTATATAAAAGTAAAAATACTTGAGACTGTTATGTAGCACAGCTGGTAGAATGTATATAAAAGTAAAAATACTTGAGACTGTTATGTAGCACAGCTGGTAGAATGTATATAAAAGTAAAAATACTTGAGACTGTTATGTAGCACAGCTGGTAGAATGTATATAAAAGTAAAAATACTTGAGACTGTTATGTAGCACAGCTGGTAGAATGTATATAAAAGTAAAAATACTTGAGACTGTTATGTAGCACAGCTGGTAGAATGTATATAAAAGTAAAAATACTTGAGACTGTTATGTAGCACAGCTGGTAGAATGTATATAAAAGTAAAAATACTTGAGACTGTTATGTAGCACAGCTGGTAGAATGTATATAAAAGTAAAAATACTTGAGACTGTTATGTAGCACAGCTGGTAGAATGTATATAAAAGTAAAAATACTTGAGACTGTTATGTAGCACAGCTGGTAGAATGTATATAAAAGTAAAAATACTTGAGACTGTTATGTAGCACAGCTGGTAGAATGTATATAAAAGTAAAAATACTTGAGACTGTTATGTAGCACAGCTGGTAGAATGTATATAAAAGTAAAAATACTTGAGACTGTTATGTAGCACAGCTGGTAGAATGTATATAAAAGTAAAAATACTTGAGACTGTTATGTAGCACAGCTGGTAGAATGTATATAAAAGTAAAAATACTTGAGACTGTTATGTAGCACAGCTGGTAGAATGTATATAAAAGTAAAAATACTTGAGACTGTTATGTAGCACAGCTGGTAGAATGTATATAAAAGTAAAAATACTTGAGACTGTTATGTAGCACAGCTGGTAGAATGTATATAAAAGTAAAAATACTTGAGACTGTTATGTAGCACAGCTGGTAGAATGTATATAAAAGTAAAAATACTTGAGACTGTTATGTAGCACAGCTGGTAGAATGTATATAAAAGTAAAAATACTTGAGACTGTTATGTAGCACAGCTGGTAGAATGTCTATGTTTGTATAATACCTTTGACATAGCGTCGGTCAACTGTTTTGACCACTCCGTGTGGACCCAAGGCACAACAGTTTTAATATCTTCTGCACACTTGCAAAGGGCAGAGGTTACAAGGTTCTGGAAGCTTTTTTTTGTCTGTTTGAAAATGTTTATAATTTTTTTTAAAATTATTCAAAGACTAAAAAGTTTTTATAAATAATTTGACAAAGGCTATTCTTTTCTTTTGAAAAATAATTTTTTGAAGCTCATTATTAAAACCTGTCTAAATTTTGTGTTTATGAAAAATATCTGTAAGTCTCTGTGTATATAAACGTAAGTACTACAACACAAGATGTCTGTCTGTGTACATGGTCCTAAGCACTACAGCACAAATTGTCAGTCTGTGTACATGTCCTAAGTACTACACCACAAGATGTCAGTCTGTGTACATGGTCCTAAGCACTACACCACAATATGTCATTCTGTGTACATGGTCCTAAGTACTACACAAGTTGTCAGTCTGTGTACATGGTCCTAAGTAATACACCACAAAATGTCAGTCTGTGTACATGGTCCTAAGTACTACACCACAAGATGTCAGTCTGTGTAAATGGTCCTAAGCACTACACCACAATATGTCAGTCTCTGTGTACATGGTCCTAAGAACCTACCACACAGACAGTTTTCATTTTAATCCCATCGGCTTGAGTTATCTCCTCCAAACCCTCTAAACTTGCTATGCCGAAGCCTAACCCTTGCTGAGCTTTGAAGTCCAGGCACTCGTAGTGCCAGTTTCTCCTAGGAAAGAATTCACTAACACAATGTCTCAAAAGATCAAGGGTATCTATATAGTTATAACAAACTGGTTGGCTTAAATTTGTCTCAAATCTCATTCATTTTCTGACATTCTTGAAATAATTTAATTCAATTTGATTTCAATTTAGAAGGATTTATCTAACATAGATCCTATCAAGTTCATTCCATAAGGAAAAATATTTGTCACAAATAATCTTTACCACATATTACCACATGATATGATTTTTTAATCAATATAAATGGATGATGTCTAATGTAAAGTCCAGATAACATCAGGTTTCTACTCTATACAACTGTAGTATATACACATCAAACTTACTGGTACAACTGTTGTAGATACAAATAAAACTTATTGGTACAACTGTTGTATAAACAAAGCAAACATACTGGTACAACTGTTGTATAAACAAATCAAATGTATTGGTACAACTGTTGTATGTACAAAGCAAACTTACTGGTACAACTGTTCTATATACAAATCAAACGTACTGGTACAACTGTTGTATAAACAAATCAAACTTACTGGTACTACTGTTGTATAATTAAATCAAACTTACTGGTACTACTGTTGTATAAACAAATCAAACTTACTGGTACTACTGTTGTATAAACAAATCAAACTTACTGGTACTACTGTTGTATAAACAAATCAAACTTACTGGTACTACTGTTGTATAAACAAATTAAACTTATTGGTACTACTGTTCTATAAACAAATCAAACGTACTGGTACAACTGTTGTATAAACAAATCAATCTTACTGGTACTACTCTTGTGTAAACAAATCAAACGTACTGGTACTACTGTTGTATAAACAAATCAAACTTACTGGTACTACTGTTGTATAAACAAATCAAACTTACTGGTACTACTGTTGTATAATTAAATCAAACTTACTGTTACTACTGTTGTATAAACAAATCAAACTTACTGGTACTACTGTTGTATAAACAAATCAAACTTATTGGTACTACTGTTGTATAAACAAATCAAACTTACTGGTACTACTGTTGTATAAACAAATCAAATGTACTGGTACAACTGTTGTATAAACAAATCAAACTTACTGGTACAACTGTTGTATAAACAAATCAAACTTACTGGTACAACTGCTGTATATACAAATCAAACTTACTGGTACAACTGATATGTGGCAGCATAAAGTCCTTTTGTCAGATACTCCAATCTTGCTTTGACAAGATCTTTCATGTTGCTCTCCTCACCTGGCTCTGAGATCTCCACCAACAGGAACACAACATCTGAACACTGGACATAAATACAACTAAAACATTATCGTTTCTGCATGGCCAACACTGAAAGTGAAATGAGTCATCAAGCAGCAACCTAAGACATTGTGAATTCACAGACATTCTCTAGTGTTCATTGATAATCTTGATATGGCAACTAGTGTTCATAGATAAGCATGATATGGGAACTAGTGTTCATGTATAAGCATGATATGGAAACAAGTGTTCATAGATAAGCATGTTATGGAAACAAGTGTTCATAGATAAGCATGATATGGAAACAAGTGTTCATAGATAAGCATATTATGGAAACAAGTGTTCATAGATAAGCATGATATGGAAACAAGTGTTCATAGATAAGCATGTTATGGAAACAAGTGTTCATAGATAAGCATGATATGGAAACAAGTGTTCATAGATAAGCATGTTATGGAAACAAGTGTTCATAGATAAGCATGATATGGAAACAAGTGTTCATAGATAAGCATGTTATGGAAACAAGTGTTCATAGATAAGCATGATATGGAAACAAGTGTTCATAGATAAGCATGTTATGGAAACAAGTGTTCATAGATAAGCATGTTATGGAAACAAGCGTTCATAGATAAGCATGATTATGGGAAAAGTGTTCATACAGCATGATATGGGAACTAGTGTTCATACAGCATGATATGGGAACTAGTGTTCATACAACATGATATGGGAACTAGTGTTCATACAGCATGATTATGGGAACTAGTGTTCATACAGCATGATATGGGAACTAGTGTTCATACAGCATGATATGGGAACTAGCGTTCATACAGCATGATATGGGAACTAGTGTTCATACAGCATGATTATGGGAACTAGTGTTCATACAGCATGATATGGGAACTAGTGTTCATACAACATGATATGGGAACTAGTGTTCATACAGCATGATATGGGAACTAGTGTTCATACAGCATGATATGGGAACTAGTGTTCATACAGCATGATATGGGAACTAGTGTTCATACAGCATGATATGGGAACTAGTTTTCATACAGCGTGATATGGGAACTAGTGTTCATACAGCATGATATGGGAACTAGTGTTCATACAGCATGATATGGGAACTAGTGTTCATACAGCATGATATGGGAACTAGTGTTCATACAGCATGATTATGGGAACTAGTGTTCATACAGCATGATATGGGAACTATTGTTCATACAGCATGATATGGGAACTAGTGTTCATACAGCATGATATGGGAACTAGTGTTCATACAGCATGATATGGGAACTAGTGTTCATACAGCATGATATGGGAACTAGTGTTCATACAGCATGATATGGGAACTAG